TTTGTAGCTGTCCAGTTTTTGATATAACATTTGTGAATGCTACACAAGAGTAAACTTAGCAGCATCAGATTAAAAAAATTGTAGTGATAATTGTAACTATATTAATATATCTCTGGAATATACCTGCTCAAGAAAGCATGCATGCCTGCAAAAATAAGTGTTACTAATTAATTGCCATAGTCAGAGAAAGGCAGCAAAAAACGTTTTGTTTATGGCGAGTCTCAAAGTATCCCTTTTCACACCATTAGTTCTTGCATGTAAAAGAGCAAAATTTCAAAATGCTTTAAGGTATGCATTACATCTGTGTTTGAATGATTTTCCTAAGAAAAATCATAAATTTGAATTTTTACCAAGTTGTTTGATGTATAGATTTATAGAGGTGTTGCTCTGGGGTCAAGATCTCAACATCCATTTGTATTTGAAAGGAGAAGAATTCTTTGTCTGTATAGATGGGGATTTATCGCTTCAATTGGTATTAATTTAGCCAGTGACTAGAGGGACAAGCCATCTCACAAACTAGCTCAAAATATTTTACTTGGAGGTGAGGAAGGAAGGAAGCAACAAAAAGAGACTTTATAGCAGAAGAGACGTACATGTATCTGTTCTGGGGTTTTGCATGTGAACATAGCCACGCTATCTGGCAATTATAACGTTATTTTGGTCAAAATTTGAATATAAAACCATCAGTCAAAATCGGTGGAAAATGCCATATTGTGACACCCATTGTAAATCAGATGTGTTGCACTGGGAGTTCTTCTGCTAGTCTGTTCTAATGCCTCCATATTTCTGTGATCAGGAGATGTGTGTGGCATTGCTGCTGTAAAATAACGTGGACAGAGAATAACTGCACCTCTTTCTGGCAATAGTCTAGTAACACTAACCTGGATCGCATAGGAAAGTTTAGTGGAAGGTGATTAAAAAAAAAAAAAAGTTCCTTAATAACTGCATAGTTTGCAATCTGTCTTGCAAAACTTCAGTCAGTGGTTTGTAGTATTAACCAGATTAATAAGGTTAACATGCAACGCTAGTGCACAATACTACTGTAGTGGAGGAGCATGCTTCGGCCTGTACTGAGAAACGCAATTGCTACATAACTTGATTTGAAACTGGTGAAGGGATAATTAACAAAAATCTATTGAAACAGACCTCTTGGACATTTCTACTAATATACATTATGTGAGACATAAGGAAGATGCACACAGAGTTGTGATTTAGTTTCCTAAATTGCCTGAGTGCTTCTGAAAGTTTGTCCATAATTCGTTTGGGACTCTTCTGCCAGTGGCTGGACCGCATCTCTACCAGCTCAGTCGCTGTGGGGGTAAAATTACATTTTGCACAAGGGTGTAAAGCTGGCACAGTTTTTAGGAGTGGAGTCTTGAAGCTTTTTGCAAAACTTTTGGGAGAATTGCTAGGCTGCACTGGTTCTCCAGACTCGTAGATCTAGCTTTTGGATGGAGACCTGTGGCTAAAAATCCTCAATGCCAGTTTGTTCGTGAATAGCTTTAGTGAGATGCTGAACCCTTCTGAGCAGGAGAAAACCCTCTACCAAATAGCTCCAGGCAACATTCGCTTCCCAAGTGCAGGTTGCAGTTTGCCTACCTTGCGCTTGACAGCGACTTACACTGTCCTGGGACCCTCCTCGGTTTTGGGGTGAATTACCTAGCAGCTGTGCACCTATCTTTTTTATGTTTATGTGTGTGTGTATGTATGTATTTAAACAAAAGAAAAGACAGCAAGATTAATAACTAACTAACACCTCAAAATAAGGCCATCATGTTTGACGATGGGGATGTGGCTGGCTCTAGTAGCTACTCCTTTGTAATGTCTGCAGCTGCCACTGATGCGCAAGTAGTTTGGGTGTTTTTTCTTTTCCTGCGTCACTAGGACCAAGTAATTGAAAGGTGTTCCTTTATTTGAATTAATTATCGCTGTGGAGAATTCTGTGCCTCACACATGTAAAGCTTGTATGCTTTTATTGCTTTTAAACCTAGCCTCTGTAGATTGCCGTTTGTCTGGTTTGATGTTAAACTTAGCCTTTCCAAAATCATAGTAGGCCACTATCGTCCTTTTTGCAGAGAAAGTAAAGCTGATTTGTTTATACCAAAGAATTGTTAGTTTTTTCAAAGAATATTCTTTTAGATTTTGGGTCCCTAAGTTTCCTTGTGCTAGTAATCATCTGATTTTGCTTAGACAGGTGTATTTCTTTTTTGTTTTGGTTACTCAGGGACTCCAAGAATGTTAATATATTGACTGATTTTTTTTTTTCTTTATCTTCCTAATAATCTAAAAATGCTCAGATTTTGCGCAGCTGAAGTTAAGTTCTCAGATAAGCGTCTTCAGAGGCATGTTGTGTGAGCTGAGGGGCAGGCCTTAGGTCAGTTTGTACCTGTGTAGTTGTTCCGTGTGTTGTCTCTCTAGGTGCTCAGTCTTTATCTCCTCCAAGTCTATCCTGAAGAAAATGTAGATGCCCTTCCTAAGCCAATACCAGTCACTCCCCAAGTCACAGACACTGCTTCTTAGGCCTGACACTGGAATTGCTCTTGGGCAGACTGCTGAAAGCTTTGTTTAGAGCAAAGTAGTGCTATTCCTTTATCCTTTTCGGTTCCACGCCCTTAGGTGAGGTTTATCTCTTGGTTGCATTTCATGTATAGCATGGCCCCTGTATGTTTTCTTTTTCTTGCTTGTTTGTTGAGTGAAACTAAGACGGATGAGATGCAGAAGGTATTTGAAGGGCTTATGTTAGCCCTAAGCAACAAAAAGGTTCATCAACCCAGATTTAAGCAGATCCTCTCGCTGATTTTTCTCGTCATGGGAAAGATGTTCTCCTGTATTTCTTAAACGTTTGCTATCTTCTTAGAGCAGAGATTAGGAGTGTAATCAAAACAGACTTTAAAAATAGGGATGTCGATTAGTTGCATTTCTTGACTGTTTGGTTAAGCCACCCGTAACTGTGTTTTAAAACAGTGTACAAAAGGATACGCTCCTCTCTTCCTTTCCTTTGTTCCATCAAAAATGTAGGTGTCCTTTATGGAAAAGTGTGTTCTAACTGCCTGTTTCAAGTATAAAAACCACAGATCTGCTCTTTAGTATCATAACGTGCTTTTTCTTTTCCCGAGGAAGGCATAATTACAAAAAAAGAATTAATTGTCCTTGAAGGCAATATAGTTTTTGGAGGCACTGGCCTTCCGGCTCCTCCTTCAGTGAAGTATATTTCATTCCCGCTGTGAAGCTGATGCTAAATTTAAAAAGTAACAGGAATTTTGCCCGAAGCCACTGTGAAGTGTCTCTCTCAGCCTTCGTGGGCTATTGGTAATGGCTGAATTTCAGCTCCACATTCAGTCCACTGGATATATCTGATTTCCGCTTTCATGCACAACATAAGTCCCAGTCTAGATCTGCGTCCAAACAGGACAATAGCTACACTGGGAAATTAGGAACCCAGTTTTGTCAGTGCTTTTTCCATTTTATCTGTATTGTCACCTCCTGTGGCAACCTCAGTGCAAAAGAGATTCGACAGATAACTGACTTCGTATCGCAGCTGCCTGCAGTGTGCGGTTGGTTTTATTGTAAAGAGTTAGACGTGCACTGAAATTCAAAACAGGACTTTGACAGAGTTGTCTGTGCTGGAGCTCTGTGTAGTGCTGACGTTGTGTCATAGTGCAGACAGTGTTTTGCTCGTCAAATGGAGCAGCTTAAGCAATCCCTACCATCTCAGGTGTTGGTAGGGATTTAGGCTGACCGGTTTCATTTCCTTTGAAGGAGCATAGGCACACCAACGTAGTCAATAAAAGTGTCTCAGCTAAGGGTTTAAACTTATTAAACCGCATCTGGATTGGTAGAAGCGAGGACAGAAGATTGATGTCATCGTGCCTATGGTTGTAGGAATTGTTAAAGAGAGTTTGCTTTGAACATAGAAGTAAACACGATGGAATTCTGGACTTTGCCTCAAAATGAACTGTGATGCTTGTAATTGGGAACTAGCTGCCTGAAATGCAGTATTGTTGCCCTTTGGTCAGATTTACTTTGGTCTGCTCATCTTTAAAAATGCTAATGCAGTTGGGAGCTAAGGTCAGTGTAACTGAAAGAAAGAAAAAGCTAATGCTTTCTCAGTTTGGCTGCTGTATTTGATAGAATGCATGAATCTTTTACTGTCGTTTTGTCTCATTTCATATTTGTTTTCCTCTTTCATGGTTAGGTCTTTCACCCAGCAGTAGTGAAGTAGCATTTGTAAAGGAGCGTGATGTACCATTATTCCCCTTCTCCTCAGGCAACAGAGAGGGTTCCCATACTTTGTTCTTGAAATTACTGAGATATTTTTAAGGTCCTTGCATCCCTTCAGAGGGGTCCGTGAATGCACATCTTCAAATACACTTTAAAAAGGAAACGACATTTAAAAGTACAATTAGTCTCTTCATATGCTGCTGCAAGTTGAAATGCTAATAAATGATCTTATTTCTCGCTCTGAGAGCTTTCAGGTCTTCCAATCTGATGTGTGAAACTGAAAGTCTGACTTTTTGAGCAGTGTTCATATTCATAGTTATGATAGTTTTCTTCGTGTTTAAAAGCACTGAATTGTCTGTCTTGCGTACTGGTCTGAATGTTTGGTTTCAGTGGATTCAGGATTTCATGGCTGTGTAGTAAAATTCTGAAACTGCAGATCACACCATACCCCTGACTCACCAGAGTTAGTAGCCATTTTTCAGTTGCACTTAGGTCGTTTATATTAGACTCATAACGTAATACATTTAAAGTTTTTAAACTCTCTCTCTTGAACATGTAATACACAATTTTCCATTCTATGACAAGTACTTTATAACAAAAGTTTGAGGTGGCGTAATACTTACAAATAAACAAGTATATAATTACCTATTTGATAAACCTGTGTTGCCATACTTGAAAAATAGTAATGTGAGAGACATATTGTTCCTAGATTCATTGGATTTATTTGATAGAGCATGAATAGTGTTCTTAATAGGAACATGTTCTGTTCTTTTTTTTAGGATGCGAGATACTGCAAGAAAAATAGAAGAAAAGTATTTTTCCAATCTCGCAACTCATGTTGAGTTTCTTCCAGTTGAATGGAGATCAAAACTTACCCTTGATGGAGGTACATTACTTCATCCCCTTGCTGTTGCACGGGCTGCAGTCTGCAAAACTGCCCCCAGAAGTTTGGTGCCACGTTCTATGTCCCTTGTTTGGCTTGTATTGTTCTCCTGCATGTAACCGAGTCTCTTTTCTTTTAGACACTGTTGACTCCATTACTCCAGATAAAGTACGAGGTTTAAGGGATATGCTGAACAGCAGTGCGATGGATATCATGTATTATACAAGTCCACTTTATAGAGATGAAGTAAGTGTGTTTTAATGTAAATTTTACTAGAGCAGGGCAGAGAGGCTGTAATAAGGGGGACCTGGGACTGTAATCAAAGTTCTTTTTCTTTTTTTTCTTTTTCTTTTCCCCCCCGCCTATGTCTAGGCAGACATAACAAAGCAAACGGTTGTCCAGAACATCTAAATAGCCCTGGCCGCGCTGCCTCCTTTGTACCAGCACTTCACAAAGCCAGGCTGGTAGCAAAAGCTGTTGCTGCTGCAAGGGCAGGAGTGCAGGGCGCAGAAGGTGCAGCTGGGGATGGACAGCCTGTGCTGCAGCAGTAATGCTCACCCACAGCTACCAGCATTGCATGGGCAGCAAATGCAACCCTCCTCGGATCTTCCTTTCTCCATGCCCCTGACATTCCTCAGTTTTTTGGGTTTTTTTTGGAGGCAGGAATGATTCCTAGTTCAGTCCTGGCCTTACATCTGGGGGGAGGCAAAATTCGAATTTGTTCTACTTCTGGCATCTCGGAGCTGTCTGTGATGAGGAAGGCAGCGAGAAGCAAAGGGATTGAAATGAAAAGGCCAGATGATTCTTTAAATTCAACATGTGGAGTCAGGTTTATATTTATCCACCAGCAGCAAATATGTTTGTATCTTGCATATATTAAAATAATTTGTTCAGCTTGTTTCCATCTTTATCTTTTTCTAAGAATTAGAATGGGTGGGTTCTTAGTGTAGTCAAGCAAAGAGATTTAGAAAGGCACTTAATTATCAGGTAGTCAGTTACTTTGAGGTAGTCTTTATTTGTAGGAAATTATGTTACCCAAGTCTGTTTCCTTCTGCTTAGCTTTTTATAGGGAAGAAGTGCTGTCTTACTTTGTTTAGCTTTTTTTTATTATTATTTTTTAGGGGGAGAGAGGGGTGAATATTCAGTTAAGCCTTATGAAAGGAGCAGGAACTTAAGTGATTTTTTTAGATTAAATAGAGTTAAGATGTCAGCGCCATAGAAAGTGGCATTGCCTTTGTCATATTCTGCTAACCCTCACCTCCCAAAACACTGACTGCATGCAGCATGCTAGGGACAAGGAAATCCATTTTCAGGTTGTGGTTTTTATAACCTGGATTTGGTAGTGTGCCGTCTTGGGATTTGAAACAGAATCAACCAGACATCTATTTTGAATGGACAGTAGAAATGTCTTTTGCAATTCCACACTGGGGAACAAGAAATATTTCCACATTTGCAGGTGTATAATATTTTTCGAGATTTTTTTTTTAATATATCTTCAAAACTAGCTGCTTCAACATCTCCTGAAAGATGTGAGGTTTTAGTTCTGAAAGTTCAGGGATACTGGGTTCTCCCCTCCTCCCATCAGTACATGTGTAAAACGACTGGAGAACCTAGAGGAGGATGATCCTGGTATATGAAATGTGAAAATAAAGAGCCTAGATTTGCACTTGAGGTAATCAAAGCTCTAAGAGGGAGAGCAATAGAGAGGTAGTAAAATGTATAATCAGTGTAATTTATTTGTAGCAGAAATGGGTCTCTAAAATGGGGCTCTCTCGCTGGCTTAGAACTAGGAAGTTTCTTTACAGCATGTTCATACATCTGCCAATTCTGAGCAATGGGAATCCTCAGAGCTGAGCTCCTCCTTACCTCTTGCAGAATCCATGGGTAATTGTTTCATTTCTGTCCTATCTGAAGTCAGGTGGGATAACAGCATGTGTAAACTTACCCAAGCCAGTTTTAATGCATTTGTGTACCCTTGCTTTGCAGGAAAGCCAATACAACCCTCGGTTTCCTGTCTGTTGGGGGATTGTTGATAGGGTGGAAGTTCCCATCTTGCTTCACCGCAGCTATCTGTCTGGGCATGTCCATGTAGCTGTAGCGTGGCCCATGTTAATCAAAGGGGAAAAAGCCTTAAATGAATGATTAAATACCCTGTAAAACATGTACAGCACATCACCCTAGCAGTATCCTTTTTGTATCACGCTCCCTGACAACCCTTTTAGGGATGTGTTAAGGTTGGTTTGTATAGGTATTCTAGGTTTTTCTGTATTGACAGCATTATATATGGAGCATTGGCAATCTTTCTGAGGCTTTAGTGTTCAGTGTGTATGATTAGACTTATCAGGGGAAAAGAAAGAATGGAAATTTCAAAGCTTACCTGGAGATTTGATGCTAACTTTCATTAAAAGTAGATATATCTAAAGCCTTTAGACTGGTAACATAATTTTAAAACCTGAACTGCCTAATACTACTACTTTTCCTAATAGCAGCAGTGATGGTGAAATCATTGTGTGTCTTGTAAGCTTCCAACACTAGAAATAGATGTACTGGAAGCTCTACCTCTCTTGTTGCTCAGTCATGCCATGTTCATTATTCAGGCCCCTCTGGGTTCTCAGTTATGCATCAGGTTTCTTTGTCCCTTGTGGAACTGAGACCAGTATGAACTTCTGTGGGAAGCAGGGAAAACTTCTCTGGCAGCTCTAAAATAGATTTTTAAACTGCATTAGAGGCTTGGCATGTCTGCAGTATTACGGGAAATGGATTAGTAAGTAAAAGTTCAGGTATGCTGGCCAACAATGCATGAAAAATTGAATTCATTGCTCATTCAATTTTAGTTCTGCAGGTATATCGCCATCCTGCAGGTATGGTAATTGACAAAATGAGTGTGCTGTGGCAGTACTTGGATCTGATTATAAAAGACCAAGTTTTCTTCACTGAAACAAGTGAATTTTCTTGAAATTTGTGCTACTGTACTTATAAGCTGATTGCTACTTTACCGTATTCAAACTGCTGCTGTGATAAATCTTACAACGCTCTTAAAATAAGGCTGTATGATTTGAATTGCAAGTATTTGTCCAAAAAAGTCCAGAAAATGAAGTGCTATTACAACTGAAATGTTGAAACCTTTAAGAATAGGTTTCTGAAATGCGTCTTTGGTATTGTCAGTCAAAATGCTTTGGATGCAAGTTTTCTTGTTATTCCTCCAGCTACAGAGTTTGTTCAACGACTATGTTGTCAGGGATATGACTCCTTGTTTGGTTCTGCATGTTTTATTATGAGTTGTATAGGGCTCCTAATCCTTCCTTAACTAATCTTAGTATATTTTTTCACATTTTATTTTTCCTTTCCTCTAGCTACAGAAGAGGGTCCTCTGTGTGTGCATTTGTGTGTGGGTGTATATATATATATTTTTTTTAGTTACTCCTCTTTATCACTTTTTATTTTATGTGACCTAACTTTGCACAGATTAAACCCAACAATACCAAGTCAAGCATTCTCCTGGAAAATGTTTTTTTCCCCTCCAGTGTTCGGAGTGGAGCCGTTTTGTGGCATCTTGTTCAGAGCACTCATTCTAGCTCAGAAATGGTCCTTGTCTTCAAGTATTCACTTGGTCACTTGTTGCTCAGAATTAGTATTCCTGCTTGCCACTTTGCAATGCCAACCAGATTCTTTGTGTAAATTGCTGGCACTGCTAATGCTTTTCATCCAAAAATCTTCAGGCACGTCAAAAGGAGCTAATTAAACTTTGCTCTGCCCCGTGAAATAAATTAAGCAATGGGGAGCCGTTCAAGCTAGAGAAGAATAAAGCCACCATTCACCTGACAACACTTAACAATACTTTGATATGAATTTTTTTCTACTTCTAAGGAATTCCCCCCCTTCCCCCCCCCCCATCTAGAAGTAAAGTAACAGCTGCTTTAAAGCTTTTCATCATTCTTTAAACAACTCATTAAGGGATTTGTAAGCGGGTAGCCACTATCTTCTTTCTGAATGCAGAGCCTCACCGTATCAGCTTTCACATGAGATAGCAGACAGGGCTGTTTCTGATGCAGCTAGGTTGTTCCGCTAAGTATTGCGGGAGCATGGTGGACAACCCCATCTCTGATTTCAAGTATTGTTTCTTCTGCAGTATGGCAGGAGATTCTCCAAAAGGTGCCTCTGACTTTTGACATGTAATGTGATACCAGACAGACATTAATAATTCAGTACAGTCCTATGAACATGTCGGACAGACTGTTCTCGGAGCTCAGTCTGGAGGAGGCTTGCAGCCAACAAAGGGAGATTCAATTGTGCAGTTTCTGCATCGCTGCAAGCGAACTGTGCTGCGCAGGCCCTCATCTTTCCAGTGGACCCTGATGAGCAAAACTGAGAATCCCTGTTTAAACATACTATATAGCACAGAAAATAAGGAGAAGCAGTAAGCTGATATTTTGATGCATGCATGCTGTGTGAACAATCACTTCACACTTTAATTCCTTCTTTGCCGTTTAGGGGAACGTAACTTGGATGTCAGTGTTATCAGTGGGTGACTTCGTTTCGCAGCCATGCTACTGTAGCTTAGTATTTCTTTAATAATTAATGGCTATCTCAGAGATTAAAAAGACTAATTGCTGCATAATAAATTTAATGTTGTCACCTTCATTCTATTGTTAAGTCTTTATTTTACTGATCTTCATAGTACGTACTTCCAGGCTGATTGTAATTCTGTAAATTATTGATTTGTGTTTGCAGAAAATGCCTTTAGTGCAGGATAAATAATATTTGCAGCCATCATCCAAAGATATCTAAAGATTAAGTTCAAATATTGAATTAGCCTCAGAAGATTAGTAGGAGGTGTTTATGGATTACTTCTGCCACGGGGATGTAGTAGGTATTTAACGCTTCTCCCCAGCTAAGGACAGGAAATGAAAAACACTGGGTCGATGACATGGTGACTGTGGGCTTGGTGTTGAAGGTGCATTACAGGCTCCAGGAGACTGGAGGAACGCAGCATAATGCAGCCTACCTGGCATGGCTTGCCTGGGCAAACATTGCTGTCCACCTCAAATGACTTGATCATTTGTTATTATACACGTATTAAACAAGGAGGTTAATGATTGTATTCTTGAAATTTAGAATAAGTATTATCTTTCTACTGGAGCTTTCATCCCTCTGTGATATCGGATTTTGCATTTGAAATATCCTGCTGTTAGGGAGTCCTTTCAGCAACAAAAAGGAATTGTTCTGTGTGTGCTTAAAAAATAAGG